TAGATCCTAAAGTTAACTTACAAGACAAAGCATGAACAAAGATTCCTAGAAGCCTATGAAATGAGAATTAATCCTACAACCTTCCTCCATGGATACAGGATAAGATGGAGAACAAAGGCATTTAATTCCATTGATAACATCTGAAGGTGTAACCTTTCAACCCAAAACCAACAACCATTGACCAATCAAACGAAAACAAGTTGACAGTAGTAACCTGACCACCAAATATCCACATCTAAAGGCTTGTGTGGGGAATGAGACCAATGTATAGAGTAATTCAGAGTTCACCTTGTACAGATACAAGTTACCACAGAGATCGTACATCCATATAGATAGCATTAGAGTTATCCTCAGTGAACAAGTTTCAGGTAGATACCGGACATGGATACTATAGTATTATACCATTTTACTGAGGTACAGTTCATATAAGGAAATCAGTCAGTTGTGGAGATCCTGGGCTGGCGGGGTTACATGTGGTCTGCGGTTGTGAAGCCGGTTGAACGTACTGCCAAATTCTCTAAAACGACATTGAAGGCGGCTTAAGGTAGAGAAATGAACATTAAATTCTCTGGAAACAGCTCTGGTGGACATTCCTGCAGTCAGCATGCCAATTGCATGCTCCCTCAACTTGAGACATCAGTGGCATTGTGTTGCGTGACAAAACTGCACATTTTAGAGTGGCCTTTTGTCCCCAGCACAAGGTGAACCTGTGTAATGATCATGCTGTTTAATCAGCTTCTTGATATGCAACACCTGTCAGGTGGATGGATTATCTTGGAACAGGATAAATGCTCACTGACAGGGATGTAAACTAATTTGTGCACAACATTTGAGAGAAATAAGCTTTTTGTGCAAATGGACAATTTCTGTGATCTTTTATTTCAGCTCATGAAACATAGGACCAACACTACATTTATATTTATATTTGTTCAGTGTATATATCAGCATATGTTTCGAAAACCGTTTTGAAAGCAATGATTATTGACATTTCTAAACGTTAAAACACTGTGTCGGAATTGTAGTTCAGTGAGCGAATGTAGCCATCAGTGAGCGAATGTAAGCACTGAAAACCCTAAATACGGAGAAGGGTTTTCGAGAGTTAAACCCTAACTTTAAAGGGGAACTGAACCCGCTAATTTGGCCTCTTTTTGGCCTGCTCCTCAAGCAGTCATGGCGGCCATGATAGAAGCCAAACGTTAGTTGACTTGGGGGTGTGGTTTATATGGAAGTTTCCTTGCAACCACCAAGATCCATCTGTCAGTCTTGCCTGCAGCTGTCCCCCAATAAAGAAGTGGTTCTGCAGGTGGTGACCACAGACCACCTCTCAGTTCCTATGCTTCCTGGCTGATGTTTTGGTCACTTTTGAATGCTGGCGGTGCTTTCACTCTAGTAGTAGCATGAGACGGAGTCTACAACCCACACAAGTGGCTCAGGTAGTGCAGCTCATCCAGGATGGCACATCAATGCGAGCTGTGGCAAGAAGGTTTGCTGTGTCTGTCAGCGTAGTGTCCAGAGCATGGAGGCGCTACCAGGAGACAGGCCAGTACATCAGGAGACGTGGAGGAGGCCGTAGGAGGGCAACAACCCAGCAGCAGGACCGCTACCTCCGCCTTTGTGCAAGGAGGAGCAGGAGGAGCACTGCCAGAGCCCTGCAAAATGACCTCCAGCAGGCCACAAATGTGCATGTGTCTGCTCAAACGGTCAGAAACAGACTCCATGAGGGTGGTATGAGGGCCCGACGTCCACAGGTGGGGGTTGTGCTTACAGCCCAACACCGTGCAGGACGTTTGGCATTTGCCAGAGAACACCAAGATTGGCAAATTCGCCACTGGCGCCCTGTGCTCTTCACAGATGAAAGCAGGTTCACACTGAGCACGTGACAGTCTGGAGACGCCATGGAGAACGTTCTGCTGCCTGCAACATCCTCCAGCATGACCGGTTTGGCGGTGGGTCAGTCATGGTGTGGGGTGGCATTTCTTTGGGGGGCCGCACTGCCCTCCATGTGCTCGCCAGAGGTAGCCTGACTGCCATTAGGTACCGAGATGAGATCCTCAGACCCCTTGTGAGACCATATGCTGGTGCGGTTGGCCGTGGGTTCTTCCTAATGCAAGACAATGCTAGACCTCATGTGGCTGGAGTGTGTCAGCAGTTCCTGCAAGAGGAAGGCATTGATGCTATGGACTGGCCCGCCTGTTCCCCAGACCTGAATCCAATTGAGCACATCTGGGACATCATGTCTCGCTCCATCCACCAATGCCACGTTGCACCACAGACTGTCCAGGAGTTGGCGGATGCTTTAGTCCAGGTCTGGGAGGAGATCCCTCAGGAGACCATCCGCCACCTCATCAGGAGCATGCCCAGGCGTTGTAGGGAGGTCATACAGGCACGTGGAGGCCACACACACTACTGAGCCTCATTTTGACTTGTTTTAAGGACATTACATCAAAGTTGGATCAGCCTGTAGTGTGGTTTTCCACTTTAATTTTGAGGGTGACTCCAAATCCAGACCTCCATGTGTTGATAAATTTGATTTCCATTGATAATTGTTGTGTGATTTTGTTGTCAGCACATTCAACTATGTAAAGAAAAAAGTATTTAATAAGATTATTTCATTCATTCAGATCTAGGATGTGTTGTTTAAGTGTTCCCTTTATTTTTTTGAGCAGTGTATAACAATGTGCACCTTTCATTCACAGCCGATTCAGATACTGTGCCTATTGGCATTTTGTCTGATGGTAATGGGGCTACCTTGGCAAACATGTCAGAGTGGTCATACCTTCCTGTGTGGTGTTTGGTATACAACAGGAGTTCTATGATCCTGGTGCAGAATACACAGGGGTTTTCCCTCCCCATATTAACTGATGCCATTCAATTCAATAATAAAAAAAGACGATACAAGTAAAAGTTGAATGCCGACTGGCAGGTCTCTCCATTCAGAGACATCAGTATCAAGCCTGTCTGTCAGACTGGACTTCATCACATCATCTTGCAAGTCTCCATGTGCTGGCTCCATACATGTTTCTGTGAACACATAGTCACTGTTCTATTGCCAATGGCAGTTAGGATAGGTCAAACAGTATCTGACACACAAACAGGTACTATGTTGAAGTTTGAATAAGTTAGACTAAACCTATATAATTCTGTTCTCCCCATCGACGACCATTGGTGAGCAAACGAGGTGAAGCTGGAGGTAAGGTCTTTGCCAGAGCCCCATTGATGGGTATAGCAGCATAGATCAGCTCCTGGCCCCTCAAAGATACTGCTCGGTCCCACACAAAAACACACACAGAGAGCACTGATTACATTATCAATGGTGGTTATGATTAGCCTGGTGGAACCAACCTGATCGCCTTTCTATTTCACATTAGATATCATAAAATGTGAAGTGAAATAGAATGGTGAAGACAGCGATCAGGCTGGTTCCACCAGGCTAGGTTATGCCCTGGACATTATATGCATCTAAGAAGTAGAAAATTAGCAACAAATAATGTCAGTTTACATAAATTATGTTTCACAATTGGGTTATCAAATGTATCAAAGTAATGACGTGGGTTACCTTATGTATTTGTAAAAATTATGAGCCTGTGAAAGCTGTTGCCGCTGATGGGTGAAGGTTGCTGGCTGGATACTTGCCAAAATGTGGCTGACTGTTCCATTCATAGGAATGCTCACAGCGAGGCATGATGGGGATGAGGGCCCCCTTGCTGATCTTCTATATGCTGCATGTTATGCTGCAGTCTGAGCATCTCTCGAACAACTGCAGCAGGCAATCTTATGAGATGGTGTTGACCGGAAGGGCCTTTTACAGGGTTACCCGTTGTTGATTGCGTCATCAAGGCAATAACTCGGGTCATTATCAGAGGCCTCATGATGGCGTGTCCTTTTCATAGGAGTCGAGGGAGACTCTGGCAAAAATGGAGGAGGTGTCACAAGGGTACTTGAGTCGCATGACACACTTTTATTCTGAGGTCTTGCCTGACAAATTGTGAAAATAGCAAGTGAACAGTGAATTAAATTATTTTTGGAGGTGGCTGAACCATTGCAATCACATTGCTGGACATGTTATGATACCCATCTTTGCTCCTTCTGCTAGGTCCTGGCATCCGTTCATGACCAGGGGATATCAGTCTGGCACCCAACTTGCACTTTAACAGAAAAACAGGGTCAACAATTGTCAACTTTCAATTATAAACATAGTTTGAGAAATAACGTAATATAATTTGGAAGCTAATTCTATGCTTTACATATGTAGACTGACTGGCTACAGATTGGATTAGATTCAGGCCGGTGACGCCGTTACTCGCTAGTTGGTAGCCAGCTAGCTAACGTCAGCTATGCTAGCGACGATCATGATTATAAAAATATACATAACCAGCAGTCTATGGTCTCGCTACCGGTATACTCACCACCACTGGGGACCAATAAACTCCAACGACCTATTCCGCGTGATGGGGTCCTTCGGCAGGGCATGCAAACAATAGTTGTTGGCTGTGCATCCTTCTGGAAGCATGCATTGCATGGTCAAACCGTATAGGGCTTTTCAGTCTCAAACGGCCGTGATCCTTTGAACGCGTTGGTTGGTGGCGATGAAACAACAGAGCCCAATTCAATGAAGGGAAGCGGAGGGGCGATTTGCATGTCGAACTTGGCAAAAGGTGGCATGATTTGTTGACTTAATTGTAATCCAAACCCAACCTTCATTTACACGTTGGGCACGCACTGAGGTTTCAATCTCCGTTTTAGATGAGACTGACTTTATGACCAAAATGATCCTATTTACACTTTGTAGTCAATTTTGACACTAGAATAAATGTTTCTGACTCATATCGATGCCACATAGGCCGTTTTCAAAGGGATTAGTTGATTTTTAGTGGCAGTCGCTCTTTAACTGTTTTAAATGTAAACTTCAATGGGGTGACATCAGAGTTGGACGGATAGCAAGGACCATGCAAAAATGTTAGAAACACGCATGCACACACCACAATGGTGCTCAATCTGCCTCTTTAAACTCATGTTTTAATTTCCAGGACAGATTTCATCATTACAGCCAGTCAGGATGGCCATGTGAAGTTCTGGAAAAAGAAAGAAGATGAGGGGGTAGAGTTTGTCAAACACTTCCGCAGTCATCTGGGTATGAATGATACATCTGTATGAATTCAAATGTATCTTAATGCAACCTCACACTGGGCTTTAGACTGACTGAAATATCATTCAGGGCTTGAATTCACTGTTCTTCATCTTCTTCGTGTTACAGGAGTGATGGAGTGTATTTCTGTCAGTGCTGATGGAGCTCTATTCTGTTCTGTTGGGGACGACCAGGCCATGAAAGTCTTTGATGTGGTCAATTTTGACATGATCAACATGCTCAAGCTGGGGTGAGTTTACATATTTATTTTTTTAGAGGTGAAAGGTCTAGCAATTTAGCTTGTTGCCTTAAAGCCAAAAGCTATCCCTTCTCTCTCTCCAAAAGCACCATGAGTGTTGATCTGACATTCCTCTGCTCTGTGTGTCTTGTGTAGTTTCCACCCGGGCCAGTGTGAGTGGATCTACAACCCAGGCGATGCCATCTGCTGCGTGGCCTGCTCAGAGAAATCCACCGGGAAGATCTTTGTCTACGACGGACGGGGAAGCAACGAGAAGCTCCATACCTTTGACAAGATACACTCCTCTCCGCTGTCCCAGATCCGCCTCAACCCCAGATACAGGGTCATCGTCTCTGCAGACAAGGCTGGAATGCTGGAGTATTGGACCGGCCTCCCCAGCGAGTTCAAATTCCCCCGGCACGTGGACTGGGAGTATAAGACTGACACAGACTTGTATGAGTTTGCCAAAAACAAAACCTACCCAACCAGCCTGGCCTTCTCCCACGACGGTAGGAAGATGGCTACTATTGCCACCGACAGGAAAGTCAGGATCTTCCGCTTCCTGACAGGGAAACTGATGAGGGTGTTTGATGAGTCGTTATCGGTAAGTTCCTAACTTTCACAATCGGGTCTTTACTTTATTTCACATTGCTATTAATAAACTGTGCTACATCTTATAATCAAGAGATTTGTTATTTTCTGTCACAAGATACTGACAAATTGGTAGCCTATTCACTGTTTCCCACATTTCCCAGTGCATTTATCTGAATTGTGGTAACTTTCTCTCATTACGGCCCATCTCTGACCTGGTCCTTTTAGATGTTCACAGAGCTGCAGCAGATGAAGCAGCAGCTGCCAGACATGGAGTTTGGTCGGAGGATGGCGGTAGAGAGGGAACTGGAGAAGGTGGACGGCATTAGGCTCACCAACATCATCTTTGACGAGACCGGTCACTTCGTCCTCTACGGAACCATGCTGGGCATCAAGGTCATCAATGTGGAGACCAACAGGTAGCGTTTTAATGGTCAAAATGCGCTTCACAGTAATATTCTCTAAACGCAGTGGTTGTCAGCCCTGGAGAGCTACAGAGTGAGCAGGCTTTTGTACCAGCCCTGCACTAAAAACCCTAAGTCAATTTATCAAGCTCTTGATGATAAATTGATTAGTTGAATCAGTTGTTTTTAAGGCTGGACTGAAACAAAATGTATTTGTCACCTGTGTGTGTTCAGGTGTGTGCGTATCCTGGGGAAGCTGGAGAACATCCGTGTGGTGAAGCTTAGCCTGTTCCAGGGGGTTGCCAAGGCATGCAACACAGCTCCCACCATCGAGATGAAGGCATCAGACAACCCGGCCCTGCAGAGCACAAAGCCAGACCCCACCATCTTCTGCACTGCCTTCAAGAAGAACCGCTTCTACATGGTGAACATTCAGTCAACTTTATTTGTCCTTGAAGGGCAATTGTAGCTCCTGTAAAAGAGAAATGGTATATTACTGTTGCTCCTATTCTTTGACATATTTTCACCCGCATTCTATAATTTCCTCAGCATTTCTGTCACTACAACTTAATTTATCTTCGTAGTTCTCCAAGAGAGAGCCAGAGGACACAAAGAGTGCCGAGTCAGACAGAGATGTGTTCAACGAGAAGCCGTCTAAGGAGGAGGTGATGGCTGCTACCCAGGCCGAGGGTCCAAAGAGGGTGTCAGACAGCGCCATCATCCACACCACCATGGGAGACATCCACATCAAACTCTTCCCTGTCGAGTAGGTCACCCTCTGTTGTTTTAAAGGACTTCCCTCAATGCTTCCTTTCTATTTGCAATGACAAAGGTTCTGTCTGTTAACTTTCCTCAGAACCTACAGTTTTGCATTTGATATATTTGATTGGACAGTTTCACTTATGTTTATGGACTACTTTATGTATCTCAGGTGTCCCAAAACGGTGGAGAACTTCTGTGTTCACAGCAGGAACGGTTATTTCAATGGCCACATATTCCACCGCGTCATCAAGGTAGGACATTTAATCACTGCTCATTGTTTTGAGTTATAGTAGGAACTTAATCACAGGATGTGCTGGACTATGTTTTGACCGTGTAGTCTTTCCTCTCCACCCAGGGCTTCATGATCCAGACAGGGGATCCTACAGGGACGGGCATGGGAGGGGAGAGTATCTGGGGAGGGGAGTTTGAGGATGAGTTCCATGCCACACTGAGACACGACCGGCCCTACACCCTCAGTATGGCCAACGGAGGCCCCGGAACCAACGGATCACAGTTCTTCATCACTGTCGTTCCCACGGTAACTAAAGGATACTGAAGTCCGATATTTTACTTTCTCTACATTCCTGGGGTTGAAGGAATGTGTTTTATTAAGTATTTTACCAATGTATATTTCTGCATTATGTACAAAGATGTTCAAATAAATCTAGACCTAAGTTAATGGCTCTCCCTACTTGTCTTTCAAGCCCTGGCTGGACAACAAGCACACAGTGTTTGGCAGGAGTGCCAAGGGAATGGAGGTAGTTCAGAGGATCTCCAACATCAAAGTCAACCCTAAAACAGACAAACCTTACGAAGACATCAGCATCATTAACATCACCATCAAGTAATCATGTTTCCATCTCACCAGTCTGTGTACTATTATTACATTCCTTTTTTACAAAGTAAAGTCTTGGATTATTCAAGAATGCATCTTGCGGTCTCTCATTCCATGTGCCATCTTTTCTTAGATGTGAGAAATGAATAAACCAGGGTCTTATTTGGGACCATTCAGATAGAAATGTACTGTGTAGATCAGGCATGCCTACATGTTAGACTGGTAAGTAAGTCTACTAACAGATATACCTGACATGATTCTATATTCGTCAGACCATATCATCAATGACATCGACATTCATCAGTTTGTTTTTATTTAATAGCGTCACATTAATGATCAATAATTTACAAAAAAACATCAAGTCCGAGTAACGTGTGTGGCTGTGTACTGTGCTTTTTAAATGTTTCAAAATCACATCAAGAGATCCTTTAAGAGTAGAGTGAAATGCTTCTTCACACATGCAGGGTTTATTTTCATACAAGAAGTAAACATAGCAATAAGGAACATTATTCTAACCAAAGGATGGTTCCTCGATACAATAAGAGGCATTGAAAGGGTGTTACTACAGGTGGGTAATGTAAACTCAGCAAAAAAAGAAACGTCCCTTTTTCAGGACCCTGTCTTTCAAAGATAATTCGTAAAATTCCAAATAACTTCAGATCTTCATTGTAAAAGGGTTTAAACACTTTCCCATGCTTGTTCAATGAACCATAAACAATTATTGTTAAGACACTTAACAGCTTACAGATGGTAGGCAATTAAGGTCACAGTTATGAAAACTTAGGACACTAAAGAGGCCTTTCTACTGACTGGAAAAACACCGAAAGATGCCCAGGGTCCCTGCTCATCTGCGTGAACGTGCCTTAGGCATGCTGCAAGGAGGCATGAGGACTGCAGATGTGGCCAGGGCAAAGAATTGCAATGTCCGTACTGCGAGACGCCTAAGAAAGCGCTACAGGACGGACAGCTGATCGTCCTCGCAGTGACAGACCACGTGTAACAACACCTGCACAGGATCGGTACATCCGAACATCACACCTGCGGGACAGGTACAGGATGGCAACAACAACTGCCCGAGTTACACCAGGAACGCACAATCCCTCCATCAGTGCTCAGACTGTCCGCAATAGGCTGAGAGAGGCTGGACTGAGGGCTTGTAGGCCTGTTGTAAGGCAGGTCCTCACCAGACATCACCGGCAACAACGTCACCTATGGGCACAAACCCACCGTCGCTGGACCAGACAGGACTGGCAAAAAGTGCTCTTCACTGACGAGTCGCGGTTTTGTCTCACCAGGGGTGATGGTCGGATTTGCGTTTATCGTCGAAGGAATGAGCGTTACACCGAGGCCTGTACTCTGGAGCGGGATCAATTTGGAGGTGGAGGGTCTGTCATGGTCTGGGGCGGTGTGTCACAGCATCATCGGACTGAGCTTGTTGTCATTGCAGGCAATCTCAACGCTGTGTGTTACAGGGAAGACATCCTCCTCCCTCATGTGGTACCCTTCCTGCAGGCTCATCCTGACATGACCCTCCAGCATGACAATGCCATCAGCTATACTGCTCGTTCTGTGCGTGAATTCCTGCAAGACTGGCCATGGCAGAACACTGACATTCCTGTGAAGAGCCCGGATCTCAATCCCATTGAGCACGTCTGGGACCTGTTAGATCGGAGGGTGAGGGCTAGGGCCATTCCTCCCAGAAATGTCCTGGAACTTGCCGGTGCCTTGATGGAAGTGTGGGGTAACATCTCACAGCAAGAACTGGCAAATCTGGTGCAGTCCATGAGGAGATGCACTGCAGTACTTCATGCAGCTGGTGGCCACACCAGATACTGACTGTTAGTTTTGACCCCCCCCCCCCCCCTTTGTTCAGGGACACATTATTAAATTTCACAAAAAAGTCACACGTCTGTGGAACTTGTTCAGTTTGTCTCAGTTGTTGAATCTTATGTTCATACAAATATTTACACATGTTAAGTTTGCTGAAAATAAACGCAGTTGTCAGTGAGAGGACGTTTCTTTTTTTGCTGAGTTTAGTATGTTACTAAAAATGCACAGACAACCTAACACATGTTATTCTCCACAGCTGTGATGTAATTGCATTTATTTTTGCAATGACAGAATTCAAACCTGGAGTCCTATAGTCAACAGCAGATATTATTTTTCATTTGGTTTCAAATGAAGACCAGGGTCACATTCTGTAGGGCACAACATTATGGAACATTCAGATAAATATTGTGTAGATCATCCTGTCAATTAATGAAGGAATCATGTCAGCTCTAAACATTTTATCTGCAACGTTGCACCCTCCTGAACACAACCCAGATGTACCAATGCATTCTGCACAAAAAACACTCCACAAAACAGGAGGCAAGAATATAAAAACGCTCAGATGTTTCTCACCAGAGCTACAATATCTCAGCAAAGTCTGTTTCAATCAACTCAAATGGATTGAAACAGATTTCAGTAAACTGCATTATTTAATGTAACAGACACTTTAAACAAAGTAAATAGTAGCTGAACCAAACCTGTGTCATTTTAAGACCTGATGGAGCATTACATAAAATCATCAGTCAAGTGCATTGGTACCGAAGACCCCCACCAATAAATGCTAGACCTTATCCATAATATGGTACCATCAATTCCTATTATGACATGACATGAAGGCAGTGCCATAAAGCCAAATTCAGGATATTGGACCATTTGTTTCAATAAAACATTTGTCTAAAGCCCTAAAGAGTAGAATAGTCACTTAGTCCTCTGAACAAAAAAAATGACCTAAATAATTGACCTGTGTGTAAATGTCTTAGAGGGTGTGAATAACTGCTTTAGGTTTGGTTTTAGAGAATCCATCAGCTCCTTAGGAAGACATTAAATGGAGGACAGTTGTCAACATGTGCTGTCCAACTTATATTCATATATTTTGCACAAGACTGAACAGGGATGCACTGGTTAGACATTTGCTAATATATACAGTATAAGAACACAGATCCTATTCACTTTGTCAGGGCTTAAGTGACTTATCTACTCAATTATTTCAACTTTGACTAGTAGATCAAACTGCACACTGGTCAGCCAAGGAAAAACCATCTACAACGGAGTTTCGCCATGAAATTAACCACCTCGTACGATCTTCATTGAGGCGATATGGGAATGTGTATTCTTATAAGCAGGTTAGTTTAGTAAGCTTGAGGGAATCCCTATAACCTGGCCTGGTTTATTAGCACACCTTTTAGCCAAGACAGAGCAGAGCACAAAGCATTCGGACTAATGATGGATTCACTGGCTATGGGTTAGAAGCTTATCCACAGGTTAGGGGTGGGAACAGTGGGTGTGGTAGGTAGAACAGAGATGTAGGCTATGGGGTCCGGGATGTAGGGTATGGATGGGTATAAGATAGGACTAGGGCCTGAGTATAGGGGTGAAGGGTATGGGATTTGGGGTAGGACTGAAGTGGAACTGGGTGAAGGTTATGGGATGAGACTGTGGTAGGGCTGGTCTTTAGGATTGTGGTAGGACTGGGTCTATTTTAAAGGATACGTTTTTTCTTTTTTTAAGTCAATCATCAAGTAAGAAGTTTAGGTAGGTGTGACAGGGGTAGGTATATAGTGGAACTGGTCTCTAGGGTATCAATGGGTTATGGGGTAGTTCTAGGGTAAGAGGATAAGGGGTGAGACTGGGTAACAGACGTCAGTCATCGGGAGGTTTAGGCCACGTCCAGTACGCCTGCAGCCACCAGCTGTCGGGACAGCCAGTCCAGGCCCTCGTGGAGCCCCGTGCCGCTGCGGGCGTCACAGCCTTGGATGTGCCAGCTCCTCCCACAGCACAGCTTGTGAAGGCTCAGTAGCTCCGTTAACTCCTCCACTGAAACAGCCCCGGGGACATCCTGCAGGTGAGGATAGAGGAATCAATGAGTTAATCAGCCAATCAATCATCTTTGTATGTGTGTTTGTTGGACCAGGGGGCTGTGTGTGTGTGTATCTGTTTGTTGGACCAGGGGGCTGTGTGTGTGTGTGTGTGTGTATCTGTTTGTTGGACCAGGGGGCTGTGTGTGTGTGTGTGTGTATCTGTTTGTTGGACCAGGGGGCTGTGTGGTGTGTGTGTGTGTGTGTATCTGTTTGTTGGACCAGGGGGCTGTGTGTGTGTGTGTGTGTGTGTGTGTGTGTGGTGTGTGTATCTGTTTGTTGGACCAGGGGGCTGTGTGTGTGTGTGTGTGTATCTGTTTGTTGGACCAGGGGGCTGTGTGTGTGTGTGTGTATCTGTTGTTGGACCAGGGGGCTGTGTGTGTATCTGTTTGTTGGACCAGGGGGCTGTGTGTGTGTGTGTGTGTGTGTGTGTGTGTGTGTGTGTATCTGTTTGTTGGACCAGGGGGCTGTGTGTGTGTGTGTGTGTGTGTGTGTGTGTGTGTGTGTGTGTATCTGTTTGTTGGACCAGGGGGCTGTGTGTGTGTGTGTATCTGTTTGTTGGACCAGGGGGCTGTGTGTGTGTGTGTGTGTGTGTGTGTGTGTGTGTGTATCTGTTTGTTGGACCAGGGGGCTGTGTGTGTGTGTATGTGTATCTGTTTGTTGGACCAGGGGATGTGTGTACCTGTTTGTTGGACCAGGGGGCTGTGTGTACCTGTTTGTTGGACCAGGGGGCTGTGTGTACCTGTTTGTTGGACCAGGGGGCTGTGTGTACCTGTTTGTTGGCGAAGATGAGCAGCAGGGCATCTCTCAGCTCTTTCTCTGTCAGCAGTTTTGCCAGCTCACTGTGGGCCTCCATCAGCCTGTCTCTGTGACAGCTGTCAATCACAAACACCACGGCTGGAGAGAGAAACAGAGAAAGTCAGGGCACTATTCATTCATAACCTGTTTCCTGGATGAGTGAAAAACAAATATTTTCTGAAACGTTTTTTTTTGTATATATTTTCAAATTCTTTCTCTTCAAAATCAGTACGTGTCATATTTATTGATATACAGTAAGAGAAGCAGGTAATATGAAAGAGAGAGGATAGACAGATACTATATATACAAAAGTATGTGGACACCCTTTCAAATTAGTGGATTTGGCTATTTCAGCCACACCTGTTGCTGACAGGTGTATAAAATCGAGCACACAGCCATGCAATCTCCATAGACAAACAATGGCAGTAGAATGGCTCGTACTGATGAGCTCAGTGACTTTCAACGTGGCACCATCATAGGATGCCACCTTTCCAACAAGTCAGTTTGTTAGATTTCTGCCCTGCTAGAGCTGCCCCGGTCAACTGTAAGTGCTGTTACTGTGAAGTGGAAACGTCTAGGAGCAACAACGGCTCAGCCGCGAAGTGGTAGGCCACACAAGCTCACAGAATGGGATTGCACAGTGCTGAAGCGCGTAGCGTCTGTTCTTGGTTGCAACACTCACTACCAACTTCCAAACTGCCTCTGGAAGCAACGTCAGCACAATAACTGTTTGTCGGCAGCTTAATGAAATGGGTTTCCATGGCCGAGTGGTGGAAAGCTTGCCGCCATTGGACTCTGGAGCAGTGGAAACGCTTCACCATCTGGCAGTCCGACGGACGAATCTGGGTTTGGCGGATGCCAGGAGAACGCTACCTGCCCCAATGCATAGTGCCAACTGTAAAGTTTGGTGGAGGAGGAATAATGGTCTGGGGCTGTTTTTCATGGTTCGGGCTAGGCACCTTAGTTCCAGTGAAGGGAAATCTTAACGCTACAGCATACAATGACATTCTAGACGATTCTGTGCTTCCAACTTTTGTGCAACAGTTTGGGGAAGGCCCTTTCCTGTTTCAGCATGACAATGCCCCAGTGCACAAAGCAAGGTCCATACAGAAATGGTTTGTCGAGATCAGTGTGGAAGAACTTGACTGGCCTGCACAGAGCCCTGACCTCAACCCCATCAAACACCTTTGGGATGAATTGGAACGCAGACTGCAAGCCAGGCCTAATCACCCAACATCAGTGCCCGACCTCACTAATGCTCGTGGCTGAATGGAAGCAAGTCCCCGCAGCTATGTTCCAACATCTAGTGGAAAGCCTTCCAAAAGAGTGGAGGCTGTTACAGCAGCAAAGGGGGGACCAACTCCATATTAATGCCCATGATTTTGGAATGAGATGTCCGACAAGCAGGTGTCCACATACTTTTGGTCATGTAATGTACCTTGTGTGTTCAGGTAATAGTGCTTCCAGAGAGGTCGTAGCTTATGTTTTCCACCAACGTCCCAGATGGTGAACTTGAGATTCTTATACTCCACTGTTTCCACATTAAAACCTAGAGATGACAAGAAGGAATGGCTAGTGTCAATATAATTAAGGTAAATGTACAATTTTACACTTGCCTACATGACAAAGACTGTTGTGGGTTTACCTATGGTAGGGATTGGTTGCATAAACTCATCCTGTTTCAGCTTGAAGAGGATGGTGGTTTTCCCTGCACCATCCAGTCCCAGGGTCACCACCCTGATCTCCATCTTTGGACCGATGTGGACCCGGTTGTCCTGGAACAGAGAAAACCATGTAGTCTAAATGAGGTAACTAATTATCTTTCAATAGAGTGTGTGCCAAGTCTTGAATTCCTACAGAGTAGAGCAGAGTGCTGTACCTTGGTGAATGTGACGGGGATACCAGCGTCTAGCTGGATGTGGTCGGCCAGCTCAGTGAACTGCTGCTGCTGTTTCTGCAGAGTCTCCAACAGTCTGTTGATCTCCTGCTTGGCCAGAACCACCCTGCAGTCATCCTACCGAGAGAGACGGGAAAGTCATCAATCATGACTTACTATCAGTCCCTCCGGGATTTTACTGGGATTGTTTGTGATACTTGTGTGCAAAAATGTTTGATTTTGCTGCGGCAATTCTGACATTTTGTTTGGCAATATGCAATGATTGTCAAATTTTTCACAAATGCGCTGACGAGGGGTGGGTTGACGTGTGGCTTGATTGAACCATATGTGGTAAATGTGCAGTGATTGGTTGAGATTGTGAGCCCTCTTTGTGCTGCGATGATGAGTCAGTTAAATGTGGAAATAATGCGGGGATTAGTCAAATTTGCAAGCACTCGCATAATATACACGGCAGGGCATTATTGATTTTGAGAAAAAAAACATTTGCGATAGCAGAATCCAGGAGGGACTGTAAAATTGAATACGCATACAGAAGACCTTAGGAAGAACATAGCACTGCAAAGCTGCTTATTGAAAATGACGGCACCTTCCAGCGCAAGCAGAGATTGCGTTCCTACGTTGTGCTCTAGATGCTATGCCCATTGGTGGCCCCATTTTAGCTCCTACCTGCTGTAGTGTCTTCTCACAGTGCAAGCAGGCAGTGGAGACCTGGGAAAGCAGGATGGTCATGTCCTCCTGCTGCTGCCGGAGCCAGATGAGTCTCTCTCGGACGTGGGCGTCTACTACGCTGAGCGCCATCTCCTCCTGTCTGCACAGCGTCTCGTGGAGGTCAGCGAAGTAAGCCCGTACGCAGGACCGTGCACTCTCTGCCGTGCCTGGGACCTGGGGAACACCCACAGACGACTGAGTCCATCAGGAATACACAGATTACACACAGCATTAGGAAATATATACTATGATAAACCATAAGCTATATTATGACTTTTTGGAAGGAAACAATGAAGTTTCAGTGGACCTTGAAATGTAGCCATTGTAATTGGTAAACACAGTAACAGCTTTACATTGATTATACCTCAATTGCCTATCTATCCTCTTTGACATCTAAAGTTATTCTGTTGTATATTATGCAAAAAGTCATTGCCAGCTGTTCTTACATGTTCAGTGTGTGCCATGCCGATGCTGTCCTCCACTATCTGTTCTCCTCCCTCGATCTGCTGTACGATCCCAACCAGCTTCCTGGAATACTCCGACACCTCCTCTGTGAACGTCCGGATACAGTGGGCCATGTCCAGGATGGACGCACGGATCTGATTGGCCTCTGCCTCCAGAACTGCATGCTACAGGAAGGAAGCAATCAGCAAGGAGAAATTAATCAAATCATAGCAGTTGAACAGCCTCAACCGTCAACACCATAGTACCCTCCAAGCTTGTCACTAAGCTCAGGGCCCTTGGTCTGAACCCCTTCCTGTGCAACTGGGTCCTAGACTTCCTGACGGGCCGCCCCCAGGTGGTGAAGGTAGGCAACAACACCTCCGCCACACTGATCCTCAACACAGGAGCCCCACAGGGGTGCGTGCTCAGCCCCCTCCTTTACTCACTGTTCACCCATGACTACGCACCCGGGATTCCCTTAGCCGGTAAATGCCAGCAAAAAAAAAAAGAAATGCAGATAAATAAATAAACTGTAGCCGGCCAAATTGTCCCGGAGAAGAAATGACGCTACTCCGATACAGAGTTGTGTGTCTCCCTCTCCCCTTTCATTTCTACAACTTGATTGGAGTCCATCTGTGGTAAATTCAATTGATTGGACATTATTTGGAAAGGCACACACCTGTCTATATAAGGTCCCACAGTTGACAGTGCATGTCAGAGCAAAAACCAAGCCATTAGGTCGAAGGAATTGTCCTTAGAGCTCCAAGACAGGATTGTGTTCGAGGCACAGATCTGGGGAAGGGTACCAAAACATTTCTGCAGCATTGAAGGTCCCCAAGAACACAGTGCCCTCAATCATTCTTAAATGGAAGAAGTTTGGAACCACCAAGACTCTTCCTAGAGCTGACGGCCCGGCCAAACTGAGCAATCGGGGGAGAAGGGCATTGGTCAGGGAGGTGACCAGGAACCCAATGGTCACTCTGACAGAGCTCCAGAGTTCCTCTGTGGAGATGGGAGAACCTTCCAGAAGAACAACCATCTCTGCAGCACTCCACCAATCAGGCCTTTATGGTAGAGTGGCCAGACGGAAGCCACTCCTCAGTAAAAGGCACATGACAGCCCGCTTGGAGTTTGCACCTAAAGACTCCCAGACCATGAGAAACCAGATTCTCTGGTCTGATGAAACCAAGATTGAGCTCTTTGGCCTGAATGCCAACCGTCACGTCTGGAGGAAACCTGGCATCATCCCTAAGGTGAAGCATGGTGGTGGCAGCATCATGCTGTGGCGATGTTGTTCAGCGGCAGGGACTGGGAGACTGTCAGGATCAAGGGAAAGATGAACGGAGTAAAGTACAGAGAGATCCTCGATGAAAACCTGCTCCAGAGCGCTCAGGACCTTCCAACAGGACAACAACCCTAAGCACACAGCCAAAACAACGCAGGAGTGTTCGGGACAAGTCTCTGAATGTCCTTGAGCGGCCCAGCCAGAGCCCGGACTTGAACCCGATCGAACAACTTGCCACCCCCATCTAGCCAGCTAACTAGCTGTGTGAGTACTTGACGCCGTTCACTGAGGGTTAGTGCTATCCGGAATCCTTGGGACATCCCTACGCTAAACACTAACCTTAACACTTCCCAAACCATAACCCTTACCTAACCCAAACCTTAACCCTTACCATTTTAAAATGTCAACTTCAATGGGATAGGGACGTCCCAAGGATCCCGGATAGCAAGGACCGTTCACTGAGCAACGCTTAGAGTGCCAGCGCCAAATTTTGTGATTTATGTTTTTCCTTTAAAAGTGACAACTACCAGAATTCAGTGGCTACAGTATTTAGCTATTAAAACATAGCTAAATACCAATACATTGAACATGTGTCCAGCTGGCTAGCATGAGGCAGCTCAGTCTTCAGTCTAGATCTTTGCAGTTTATCCTCCCATTCACAAAAAAAAATTTTCTGGTGCTCCTAAATTTGATGTGGTGCTTACATTAAAATGTTCTTTGTAGGGCTGTTTTTAGCACAATCAATACAGAAAAGGTTTTATTGGTTATCTGTGAATATTTCCACTCTAAAATCGGAATTGTATCGGATCCAAAAATGCCATATTGGTTGGGTTCTAATAAAAACATATATTGTTGTCTCTAGTGCTAGGAATGTTGCTTAAGAGATTGACATCAGTCAGTCAATACCGATACTGATATTCTCCAAGCGGACTCATCCTCCTTCCGTACCTTATGTCCCTGGTGCTTGCCGTACTCTTTGCACACGCAGCACATGAGTGGCCCAGGCTGGCAGATCTCCTCCTGACAGACAAACTCGATGGCGTGGACCTGGTGCTGCAGGCACAGCGTCTTCTCGTGGGGCTTGTCTGCCAGGGGCACCCGCCGGTGCTTGGCCAGGGTGCGGGTGGAGTGGATGAGCTGGGAGCAGTCTGCACACAGGTGGGTGGCACACACCGTGCAGTACATAGACGCCGTGTGGCTCTCGTCCTCGTCACAGCGGATTATACTCTAGAAGGAAAGGGAAGAACATAGGATAGTGTTACTTACTTAATGACAACACATGAAATGTAACCGTCATTGAGAACTGGATGGATTATGAAAAAACTAGGCAGAGCAAAGCAAATTCCCATATTGCTTTCACCTATCCTCTGTGTTTTCAGATAATTGCAGATGAAAGATGGGAACCCAGGGCGTGGGTAACTACTGCCTACCTCTCCCATGCCTTTGAGGGCATCCTCTGCCATGCCCAACTGGTTGGACGCTCCATTCTGCAGCCTCTCCAGAAGCTCCAGCAGAGCAAAGTTCTTCTTCAGACCCCACACACCAGAGTCCCCTGAGAGAGACAGAGAGAGGGATGGATGTCAGACCAGAGTATGTGAGGCATTGGAAATCCCACTCATCGCTCACGGAGGGTTTTTGCACATAGCTCCATGGCGCAATGTCCTTTCCCCCGCTCTGCAAAAAAAATAGATCAGCGCTCACAAAACATTTATAAATGCCACTGCAAATTTGCTCAAACTTAGACTCTTCTTTTTGTTTTACAATAGCCTATATAGAAATCAAAACGTCTCCAGTTCTGCTGCATGGGCTCATTCGTTGCCTTGCTATCAATTACAGGCTGTGTGATCCATTTCTTTGTCGACTCATATCAACATCTCTGCGCATTAGTGGTGGGGTCGGCTAAATAAATACAACAGAATAGGCCTTATTAAAAGAAAAGTGATGAAGGAAATGAAAAACGCTGGGCAGAGCACGCCCAGAGCTCGTAGCTGAGCAGTACCGGAGCGAAATTGGAGCAGGAGAGAATGCCGAATCGCCAACATTTTTTAAATCCGCTCCAGCCAAATTACACACGCTCCACTCCACTCACATCCTCTACCACAGACACAGGAAAACAATAGGCCTGTATAGAAACTGAACCCTACGGAACTCACCCAGTTCAGTGACCTGTCTGTCGAAGGGGCAGCGGACGGCTCTACCATGAAGGGGCAGCCGGGTCAGACAGTCATGGCAGACCGTGTGACCGCAGAGCAGCAGCCGGGGGACCTTGTCCCCTTGGAGAGAGAAGACATCCTCACACACTCCACACTCCAACACCTGGGAACCACAACAACAACACAAACACAGGTTTAGTCAGACACCCACACACAGGTTGAGTGTTTGCATATTTATTTCTCCATGGACTGAGATTAGGAATATGCATTGCCTTATTGTCCCCCTCCTGCCTCTATCATTTTCATAGTCACTTAATGCTTTGTGTAAGAGCTAATGAAGATCGAAAGCAATAAAATAAAATAATAAAACACTTTTTTGGGGGGGCTGATTTTTGTCCATCCTCCACCGATTCAGTATGTCATTTTCATAGTCATGGCATGCTTTGTGTAAGAGTTAATGAAGATTGAAAGACCCCCAGAAAAGAAAATCTAAATTTCAACAACGAAAAAGCTGTGGATTTTTGTCCATCCTCCCCCGATTAAAAATATCATTTTTATAGTCATGACACGCTTTGTGTAAAAGCTATTGAAGAATGAAAGCTAAATAAATTATGAAAACGCTAGAATTTTTGGTTATTGAAAAAAACCTGTGAATTTTTGTCCCTCATCCCAATTCTGAATATAGCATTTTAGGGGTGGCAGGTAGCTTAGTGGTTAAGAGCGTTGTGCCAGTAACCGAAAGGTCGCTGGTTCTAATCCCCGAGCCGACTAGGTGAAAATCCTGTCGATGTGCCCTTGAGCAAGGCACTTAACCCTAATTGCTCCTTTAAGTCGCTCTGGATAAGAGCGTCTGCTAAATTACTAAAATCTAATAGTCATGGCACGCTTTGTGTAAGAGCCAATGATTTATATATACACTGGATATATTTAGGAAGCTATAGAAATGCATTTATTCATGTTTACATTTGTTTTTGCCACATTTATTCTATTACAGACACCTTAATGCATACTTTTGAATTATATTATGTGAGCTTAACATACAAAAATGAAGAAAATAATCTTTAAAGTATATATTTTTTAGATTACTAATGTTACTGTCACCACAATAACTAAAATACTTATACATTTAATTTAGTCCTTGAAACACAACTGAAATACTGTATAATTCCTATGGAGGCCTGCTCCTACTGGGGAGTGCCAATATAAAGCTTATTTCTCTGAAACTTTGTACACAAATTTGTTTACATCCCTGTTAGTGAGCATTTCTCCTTTGCCAAGATAAACCATCCACCTGACAGGTGTAGCATATCAAGAAGCTGATTAAACAGCTTGATCATCACACCAGATACTGACTGGTTGTCCGATCCACGCCCCAAGGTGTTTTTTTTTTTTAACAGATGCATATCTATATTCCCTGTCGTGTAAAATCAATAGATTAGGGCCTAATGAATTTATTTCAATTGACTGATTTCCTTATATGAAGTAACTCAGTAAAATCTTAGAAACTGTTTAGCGTTTATATTTGTGTTCATTGTACATCAATGGTAATAGCTATTGAAGTTTAAATCTAAAATCTTATTAAGAAATACACAAAAAGTGTGGATTTTTCTCCAGCCACCACTGATTCAGAATATACCATCTTCATAGTCATGGCAGGATTGGTTCAATAACTATTGAGGAGAGGGAATAGAATATCCAATATAAAACCAATTTGACCTCGGTCTGGTTAAATGATGCAGTATCAAGCTAGCTAGCTATGCTAATATACGCATCCAATTAACAGGTGAAGTTAACTGATGCAATTGCGTGGTTTACAAAAAGCTGTCAGGGCACTTAATTGCACACAGAAATGCCATCTGGATTTTGTGGATTGCATGTCTACGCAGACACAAAAACTGCAGGCCCATCGTTTGACACTGCAGTGACGCCCCGGCAGAAGAAGCATCCGAAGCCACGAAGGCAGAATTGAGCGCCCTTGTCGGCCGATTCGACCGATATTATCGCCCCCAAACATTGTTTATATGCTTCTTCAGACGTGCAAGTATTCAACCAACCTTCACCGTGTTGCCTGTGGCCCCTCTGCCGTGCCGAACACAGACGTCCATCGTTGCTGCGGTCCCCTGCTTGTTTACACCCACAGCAGCCGCCATCCTAGGACTAAACCATTTCCACGGTGTCAGTGTGAATCCGAAAATGCCATTGCGGAATATCTGTAGACCGCCAACTGAATTTGAGAAAATTGAATTATGAAATGTAACTTTTGTATCGATAAGAAAAAACGAATATGTTTGGTTATTGAAATAAAACAAATATATAATGAAACTGTCGATTATCTATGACCCCTAATATGGACATGGAAAAGTCCGTCAGCTTTTTCCGTCAGTTCCACGGTTTGTGGATTTTAGCGCCCTCTTGCCTTCTTTCTGCAACACTAAATTCACCGTTTCTGAACCTGTACAACAATTTCAAACTGTACTGTCTCAACCCAGTCTCTCATTAACTATGTACAAATAAGCACAACGTTGTTATGTACTAATAGCACAAACTCATGGTGCATCGCGCTCACAACCGTAACACCTCTGATGCCACACCCCTTCTGGATCTCTTTAAACTTGATGCGCCCTGAGTTTGCTCTATTAGTACAAATAAACATAACTGTTTATTTGGATGTAGCTAGCTACACTGCTCAAAAAAATAAAGGGAAGACTAAAATAACACATCCTAGATCTGAATGAATGAAATAATCTTATTTTTATATTTTTCTTTACATAGTTGAATGTGCTGACAACAAAATCACACAAAAATTATCAATGGAAATCAAATGTATCAACCCATGGAGGTCTGGATTTGGAGTCACCCTCAAAATTAAAGTGGAAAACCACACTACAGGCTGATCCAACTTTGATGTAATGTCCTTAAAACAAGTCAAAATGAGGCTCAATAGTGTAGACAGCTGGCGTCGGGTAAGTTTGGCTTTATACATAGCTTGGGCTTTGTCGAGTAAGGCTTAAACTATGTATTTAGATTGTAGTTAGGTATTATAGGTAGGCATCGTGGGCTGTATATTATTAGGTATTATAGGTAGGCATCGTGGGCTGTTGTGGGTAGTTATTGTAGGTTAGCATTGTATTCGGCGGTGCCGGGTGTAGCACGAAGCTAGCTAGCTAGCTAACTCACCTCCTGGACTAGCTGGCGAGTAGCTATTAGCAACGGTAGCAACTAAATACAATATCCTTTTAGCCAGCTACATTTGTTCGCAGCGCCGCCGTTATTCAAACAAAGTCAACACAGCAGCCATTGCTAGCTAGCCAACACGACCGGCTAACTGTACTGTAGCAGCTAAATACAATATATTTGTGCTAGCTAGCCAACGTTTAATTATTGCTGCGTTATGAAAGGAACTAGACACGGACACGAATTATCTGTTTAGTGTGTTAACACACTATTGGTAGTTTGTTGTAACCAAGTATTGGTGCTAAACTGTGTGTTATTGGATACTAGCATGCTAGTTAGCTATAGCGTCATAGTTAGCTAGCTGAATAAAGTAAGTTGAGTCTATTCCTTGAAACATTGAACCGCTGTAGTTCACAACAATTCTAATTTCTAAAGTGGAAGTTGGGAGAGTTTTATTCGGGTGGTTCAGTGAAACAATTATAGTTTCTGAGGTGAAGTTGGGAGAGTTATATTTGGGAGTTTTGGTTTTTACTCTCTCCTTTCCCAGATGTTTAGTTCATTTCATTCCGATCTCCTCTGCATTATTGTAGCCATTTGCTACAGCCTGTCAACTATGCCTCTGCCTATCCCTGTTCTCTCCTCTCCGCACAGGCTACACAAACGCCACACACCGCGTGGCTGCTGCCTCTCTAACCTGGTGGTCCCTGCACGCACCCCACACCTGGAGTTCCAGGTCTCAGGCAGCCTCTGGAACTGCTGTTCTGCTGCCAACAAGGCTGACTTCATCCCAGCCTATGCTACCCTCCAGTCCCTCGACTTCCTGGCGCTGACGGAAACATGGATTACCACTGAAAACACTGCTACTCCTACTGCTCTCTCCTCGTCTGACCATGTGTTCTCGCATACCCCGAGAGCATCTGGTCAGAGGGGTGGTGGCACAGGAATCCTCATCTCTCCCAAGTGGACATTCTCAATTTTTCCCCTAACCCATCTGTCTATCTCCTCATTTGAATTCCATGCTGTCACAGTCACTAGCCCATTTAAGCTTAATATCCTTGTCATCGATCGCCCTCCAGGTTCCCTTGGAGAGTTCATAAATGAGCTTGACGCCTTGATAAGTTCCTTTCCTGAGGATGGCTCACCCCTCACAGTTTTGGGGGATTTCAACCTCCCTACGTCTACATTTGACTCATTTCTCTCTGCCTCCTTCTTTCCACTCCTCTCCTCTTTTGACCTCACCCTCTCACCGCCCCCCCCCCTACTCACAAGGCAGGCAATACGCTTGACCTCATCTTTACTAGATGCTGCTCTTCTACTAATCTCACTGCAACTCCCCTCCATGTCTCCGACCACTACTTTGTATCCTTTTCTCTCTCGCTCTCCTCCAACACTACTCACTCTGCCCCTACACAGATGGTAATGCGCCGCCGCAACCTTCGCTCTCTCTCTCCCACTACTCTCTCCTCTTCCATCCTATCATCTCTTCCCTCTGCTCAATCCTTCTCCCTCCAATCTCCTGATTCTGCCTCCTCAACCCTCCTCTCCTCCCTTTCTGCATCCTTTGACTCTCTGTGTCCCCTATCCTCCCGGCCGGCTCGGTCCTCCCCTCCAGCTCCGTGGCTTGATGACTCATTGCGTGCTCACAGAACAGAGCTCCGGGCAGCGGAGCGGAAATGGAAGAAAACTAAACTCCCTGCCGACCTGGCATCTTTTCACTCCCTCCTCTCTACATTTTCTTCATCTGTTTCTGCTGCTAAGGCCACTTTCTACCACTCTAAATTCCAAGCATCTGCCTCTAACCCTAGGAAGCTCTTTGCCACATTCTCCTCCCTGCTGAATCCCCCCCCCCCCCCCACCCCCCCTCCTCTCTCTCTGTGGATGACTTCGTCAACCACTTTGAAAAGAAGGTTGACGACATCCGATCCTCGTTTGTTAAGTCTAATGACACTGCTGGTCCTGCTCACACTGCCCTACCCTATGCTTTGACTTCTTTCTCCCCTACCTCACCTCGCTGATCAACTCATCCTTGACCGCTGGCTATGTCCCTTCCATCTTCAAGAGAGCGAGAGTTGCACCCCTTCTCAAAAAACCAACACTCGATCCCACTGATGTCAACAACTACAGACCACTATCCCTTCTTTCTTTTCTTTCCAAAACTATTGAGCGTGCCGTCTTTAGCCAACTCTCTTGCTATCTCTCTCAGAATGACCTTCTTGATCCAAACCAGTCAGGTTTCAGGACTGGTCATTCAACTGAGACTGCTCTTCTCTGTGTCACGGAGGCTCTCCGCACTGCTAAAGCTAACTCTCTCTCCTCTGCTCTTGTCCTTCTAGACCTGTCTGCTGCCTTTGATACTGTGAACCATCAGATCCTCCTCTCCACCCTCTCCGAGCTGGGCATCTCCGGCGCGGCTCACTCCTGGATCGCGTCCTACCTGACCGGTCGCTCCTACCAAGTGGCGTGGCGAGAAGCTGTCTCCGCACCACGTGCTCTCACCACTGGTGTCCCCCAGGGCTCAGTTCTAGGCCCTCTCCTATTCTCCCTATACACCAAGTCACTTGGCTCTGTCATATCCTCACATGGCCTCTCCTATCATTGCTACGCTGACGATACACAACTAATCTTCTCCTTTCCCCCTTCTGATAACCAGGTGGCGAATCGCATCTCTGCATGTCTGGCAGACATATCAGTATGGATGATGGATCACCACCTCAAGCTGAACCTTGGCAAGACGGAGCTGCTCTTCCTCCCGGGGAAGGACTGCCCGTTCCATGATCTCGCCATCACGGTTGACAACTCCATTGTGTCCTCCTCCCAGAGTGCGAAGAGCCTTGGCGTGACCCTGGACAACACCCTGTCGTTCTCCGCTAACATCAAGGCGGTGACCCGATCCTGCAGGTTCATGCTCTACAACATTCGGAGAGTACGACCCTGCCTTACACAGGAAGCGGCACAGGTCCTAATCCAGGCACTTGTCATCTCCCGTCTGGATTACTGCAACTCGCTGTTGGCTGGGCTCCCTGCCTGTGCCATTAAACCCCTACAATTCATCCAGAATGCCGCAGCCCGTCTGGTGTTCAACCTTCCCAAGTTCTCTCACGTCACCCCGCTCCTCCGCACACTCCACTGGCTTCCAGTTGAAGCTCGCATCTGTTACAAGACCATGGTGCTTGCCTATGGAGCTGTGAGGGGATCGGCACCTCTGTACCTTCAGGCTCTGATCAGTCCCTACATCCAAACGAGGGCATTGCGTTCATCCACCTCTGGCCTGCTGGCTCCCCTTCCTCTGCGGAAGCATAGTTCCCGCTCAGCCCAGTCAAAACTGTTCGCTGCTCTGGCACCCCAATGGTGGAACAAGCTCCCTCACGACGCCAGGACAGCGGAGTCACTCACCACCTTCCGGAGACATTTGAAACCCCACCTCTTTAAGGAATACCTGGGATAGGATAAAGTAATCCTTCTACCCCCCCCCCCTAAAAAAAATAATAAAATAAAATACTAAAATATTGTAAAGTGGTTATCCCACTGGCTATAGGGTGAATGCACCTATTTGTAAGTCGATAAGAGCGTCTGCTAAATGACGTAAATGTAAATGTAAATGTAGTGTGTGTGGCCTCCACGTGCCTGTATGACCTCCCTACAACGCCTGGGCATGCTCCTGATGAGGTGGCGGATGGTCTCCTGAGGGATCTCCTCCCAGACCTGGACTAAAGCATCCGCCAACTCCTGGACAGTCTGTGGTGCAACACATTGGTGGATGGAGCGAGACATGATGTCCCAGATGTGCTCAATTGGATTCAGGTCTGGGGAACGGGCGGGCCAGTCCATAGCATCAATGCCTTCCTCTTGCAGGACCTGCTGACACACTCCAGCCACATGAGGTCTAGCATTGTCTTGCATTAGGAGGAACCCAGGGCCAACCGCACCAGCATATGGTCTCACAAGGGGTCTGAGGATCTCATCTCGGTACCTAATG